ACTATCTATAACTTAATTTTACATAATTCTCGTTTGAAACAATATTCACATTTTATATAAAACTCTTTTTATATAACAACCATTTTATATATTGTCATATATGAAAAAGCAGCCAGAACCGAATTTATTTGCGTTTATGAACAAGTTTTAAGTCAATCTTATCTCAATAATAATTTACTTAGTTATGTAAACTGAGGTTCATGCCTTATAATTTTTATTTAAAAAAGAATTTTAGGGTTATTGATTGTTATCAAAAATTAAATTATGTAATGCAAATTATTACTCAACGTTCGTTATATTAAGTGCAATGTTACATGAACAAAAGTTTATATTAAATAAAACTATATTCAATGAGCTTTAGGTTAAAAATATTTAAATAATACATTACACAAATATACATTTTACCTTCTGCGTTATTATAATGTCACCCAAAACTCAAGCATTTTGTTATTTTTATTAACAATACATCCTGTTTATATTTAAACTTACTTACTAACTTACTTTATCAAACTCGTATCTTAAAGCACAAAGTTACTGAAATAAGAATACAAATTTTTGTAAGCTGATCTAATATCATATTTCCTTCATATTTACACATTGGCTTTATTTATTTATTTATTTAGTAAGGCTTACCAAGTAAACACATACAGATACGTTAAATATTTATAAAAACGAAAACATTTAAAACTAGTATTATGCATGCATTTAAATTATTATTTTGGAAGCACGAGAGTATGAATGACTGTCTATACATATATGACTCGATCAAATCAAGATTACATTCAACAATTTATGTACTTTAAACTACGCAAAAATTAGGTAAAAATTAAAATTAAAAAACAAAAAACTAAGCAAACCAAAAATAGCTAGATAGCTCGCTAAAGATTGTTAACTTCACAAGTAAAATATTTTTGGATTACATTCCTGAAGCCGTGATATTTATCACTAAAAATATCCAATTCACAATGTTGAAAAATCTCATTGTATTCTCTCATAGTGGAGTAAAGTGGAGACGTGTTACCATAATTGGTTTTCCTCAGTTCTATACCAAAAGGTTCGTAATTATGCAGCCTGGCTGATATTCTAGGTGTTTTTAAGTTTATTTGAGACAGAAGGAACGGACAATCTATATCGTTATTTAGTAATTTAAACAAAAAAATTACCTATTCTTAAACAAATGTATCCAAATTAACAACCTCGATAAGAAATTTAAAATAAATAGAAAGTTTTGCTAACTCTTTATAAGATACGAGTTTGAGAAAGTAAGACATCGCTTTGTCTCAAAAGCTCCACAATTTCCATTGGTCACCAAAATCAGAACAGGCAAAAGTTGTCATTGCGCAAACGACGTTACTCAAATATCGGCAAGAAACAGATGCGGTACAAGGTCGGAGTTGATGTTCCACATGTACTTGCCTAAGCACTGTGCTAACTACAACTTACATTTATCTACAGATGTTGAAAAACCAAACCTCGTTATTGTTCAACGGTCCTATGTGTTGTTGTGTTAGCTAGAAGTGGCTACCTCCACTGCGTTTTGTAACTTTGTGTTACTGCAATCACAGAATAATCACGTATTGAAGACCAATAATGGATATTCTATTCGTGTCTCAATCTGTGGATTGTTTGATGAGTTGTGGTAATTTGAAGACGAAATACATTTCAATATATTTCTCTCGTTATGTTTGAGAAGCTTCTCATTGTATTTGGAGTCCAAATTCAGTCTTGCTGCAAGAGACTCATTGGCAACAACACACTCGTGAAGATAAACCTACACAGCCTCACTCGCCGAACAGTTGCCATGGCGGACTGCCACGCGTGACGTAACACAGGGTTTCCCTAGTGTTGAGTGTGTGTGTGCGTTAACAGAGTGGTCTCTCTTACAGTATTTCTTGAGGAAACGCCTTGGAATGTGCATGGCCGAATTCCATCCGCTCCTTCCCGTCGCCTAGACATGGGTATTTTTATTGTTATGCCTTTGATATTCTTCCGATTCGCACAAAACGTTTTCATTAATTACAGAAATAGCTAAACGATGGAAACTTTGCCGTGTTCTCTATTTCTCGAAAGATACTGGATGTCTTTAGGTGGAGAGTGAAGCGAGTCGAACGTAAACCCCCATTGTCATTATTTTTACATTTATCTGGAAAAATTGGGGGCAAATTTATTTATTTATTCTTAGGAAAGTTTACAGCATTCTTTAATATTAATTTATAAACTAAATGTAAACTTATAAGCCTATTAAAAACCTCCACATATGAAAATCTAAATACAAAACATATGTTAACACTAATTGCTAATCCTACATACGCATACGCATATACACTTTAGTTAATTTAGTTTAAGTCTAATAATAATATTAACGACTTAAATATATACATATCCAACTATACTGTTTAATACATACATATATTCAACATAATAAGATTTATATACCTACTTATAATTTGAGCATACCCACCCACCATATCTAAAATATTTACCAGTTATTGCCTTTCAAAATAATTCAAACCCACAGTTCTCTTTATAGATGTAGTGCTAGACGCAAATAAATCAAAGTCATTATCGGTGCTATACTTGTTAAAGGTTTTACAGCTACGTACCATGAATGTATTTTGTCTGTAATTTGTGCGGACATTCGGTAAGTGAAGCAGAGGGCGCTGCCGCAAAGCCAGTGCGTTAGCACGAAGACCAATCATGGACAGCAATTCCGGACAGTCAATTTTACCATTTGCCAGTTTAGATAAGAGACAGATGTCATTTATTTCCCGACGCATTAACAGTGGCAAGAAGTGGTATCGCTTACATCGATGCTCATAACTCAGCGACTTTTGTTTGGCCCTGAAGTCAAGAAAACGCAGAAATCGCTTCTGTATCGACTCTATCCTATCAATATAAATACCATATTGCGGATTCCACACTTGGGACGCGTACTCGAGATGACTTCGCACGAAAGTGCAATATAGTACTTTAATTGTCTTCAAAGATTTTAAATCACTGGACATTCGCATCACGAACCCGAGGGCCCTAGAGGCCTTACCAGCAATATAATTGACATGATCCTCGAAAATTAGCCTGCTATCATGTATGACACCCAAATCTCTTATTTTATTAACTCTGGTCAAACTGTGACCCTGGAGGAAATAATTGGATCCTATTACGTTGGTCTTACGTGTGAATGTTATACAGAAACACTTTGCAACATTAAGATCTAACTTATTTAAGACACAGTATTGTTCAAACCGCAGAAGATCTAGTTGCAGATCATCGACATCCTCAGAACAGCCAATTATTTTAAGAATCTTCATGTCGTCTGCGAAAAGAATGGATTTAGAATTTAAAAAACATTTACCGATGTCCATTATAAAAATTATGAATAACAGCGGACCCAGAATTGATCCCTGGGGCACACCAGAAGACATTTCAGCCCACCGCGACGCGTATCCTCGCAAAACAACAGCCTGGTTACGATTGGCAATGTAGGAGGCGAACCAACGTAATAAATTTCCATGAATTCCCGCCGCATGGAGTTTGGATAGTAGCATGCAATGATCGATTCTATCAAAACACTTTGTTTAGTCTGTGTATACCACGTCAACTTGCGCTCCCTTTTCCATTCCATCGGCGATGTACTCATTGGCAATAATGAGGTTGGAGGATGTTGAGCGTTGTCTGAGAAAACCATGCTGCTCTTCACTAAAAGAACTACGTAAACTAGAGTACACATCCTGATGGATTAACCTTTCCAGTACTTTAGTAAACAGGCACAACCTGGATATTGGTCGATAATTCTCAACATTACTTTTATCGCCCTTTTTAAGTACTGGAGTAATGAAAGCAGACTTCCATATCCTAGCGACCAATCCTTCAGACAATGACCGCTTAAACAATATGCACAGTGGCGTCACCAAGCTTTCAATTTTATTTAGCCTATTCCTTACTACTTACCAAACCCTTGACCAGGCTAAGGGAAACGTATCTCCCATATAGTATTTCGTTTACCACGTTCAGTTTTTAATATATGTTGCTCTGATCCCTAAGTAAGTAGCTAAAGCAGTCGTGATATAAAAATCTGAAACAACGACGATCATCCAGTCCCGAGACAATATAGAAAAGTTAGTTTGTACACTGACCCGGCCGGGGATCGAACCTACCATACGACCTACAGTCACAAAATGCGTCTAGGAACAATAATGTACCTTTAGACTTTTGGTTACACTTAACCCAGTACCTACCGACTTTAGGAAAATACTTGATATATTATAGAAAAAAATTTGCTCCATGGACACATTATTTTATTTTTAAAAGTAAATAATATTGCATTCAAAGACTTTTAAAAAGTTCCTTGTCTCTTCTGGGAATCTGAGCGACTAAATGAGAAAAAAAATACAGCCTGTATATTTTGATGCCGACCGAAAAGGTCCATAATAAGGATTAATTAATTTAAAGTGACCTAGTATATTAAATAAAAGGAATACCAACCACCACTTTCTCTCCGCATCACATAGCATTAGCATCGAGTACCTAATTAATTACAATAATGCACGAACATAAATAAAATAATGACAAAATCCAGATCTTTAACTAAAACTAGCAATATACAACAGTTTACCGGGCTACGACCATAATATCTCCCACACAATCAAAATCTAACCAGGTTGTGGTAACGTGGAAGACACAACACAATTCTGATACAATGATATATTCATTTATATTTTGTGAAATTACTCCACTGGTTTGTTATAATTATTAATGCAAAGATCGAACACAAAGAAAAATACCTTCGATCTGACAGGACTCGAATCTGTGTCATACGAGGGCGCTCGCTCTACCAACTGAGCTACAGATCGAATTAGCTAGAATTAGCAGGACTTACGAATTTTTCTATTAGGTTTATTACAGACCTTTGTGCTCGGTTTTAACGGTTTTTTACCGTAGCGCCATCTGTGAGAAATCTTTATGTTTATATTTATAAACTTAAATTCGTCTCCATATTTCAGCGGAAGAATTCACGCGGTGTCGACAAAAGGATGCCAAACTCAACGACTGCCTAAAAGGCGCAGTCCCTGACGCTCTACGTAAAATGAAAAAAGGTAAGATGACGAGTCTAACTATCTGTATATGTATTTTATTCTGAATTTAAAATGGCGTATACTTGTTTTTTTTTTTTTTCTAAAAATACGCGGTGAAATCTTGGTTTGTTCTTTTTTTCGAAATGAAAAGAAAATCAATTTTAACTATAGCTATTACTTGGGCATTTTCAAGGCAAAAGTGAATAAACATTGCTCAGGTGCGCATGCTCCATCGTCGACCTCATTGTCACTTTCTATCAGGTGAGATGGAGATCAAACGCGCATTTACTTTTATTAAAAAAAAATCATTTCCAATATGCTGTTATCGGGAAAACCTAAGAACTCGAAAACTTATAATATCTTTCTATACTTTAACCAAAACAAATATATCAACATTATAATGTAAATGTACGCCTACGTCAACGAACCAACTTAAAAAACTGTGTAAATTTCCCTCTATTCCACTTAGTTCAACTATAAGTTCAATCAGTTGAACTAATCCGATACAAATATTCCAATTAGTTCAATTAGGTACAACTTTTCAAAAAGTTGAACTTATTGGACGAAATTCATCCTGTTAGTTCAACTTTCCAATTATTTAAATAGTTCAATGTATAACTAATAATATTCCTTATCGTCTTTATGTGTAGTAGGAGAACCAGGACATTATGTCTTCGTGCTGCTATCAATATCAGCACTCCCAATAGCTTAGACCCTACACTGAAGAAAATCAACATTAATAATAATAAATATTTATTGAGACAATACAATTGCATGGTATCTTAAAATTACGTAACATTATTACACAAGGAACATTTTAAGATGAGGTTGAACTATTGCGCCCGTTTTAAAAAAAAAACTGTATGATAAACGCTACGTGTTCCACTGGATTTAATTTACAAACATTATAATGCCAAACATTCTACGTGATAAAAGAATACAAGCAAAAGTATGACAGAGAAATAACAAAAACAATTTTAAAACTATGTGTGTGACAGGGTGTTTGCGTGTGTATGTTGCTTAACTGCCCATGAATAGCTTTACCAAGGTTGCTAAAGTTGCCTGAAAATGAGTAACCACTGAGTAACGTTAATCTCTCAATTCCGTGGCACAGGTATCGGATTGAAAACGTACTCTTAGTATAATAAAGTCACATATGATAATACTTGTATAATAAAGTCACATGTGATAATACTTGTATAATAAAGTCACATGTGATAATACTTCAAAAGGGCTTTTATCACAAGAATCATAAAAACAATAAGGAATACATGAAACAAAATATGTGTATGTGCAATTCATAGCTCTTCTATTCCATTTACGCGTAAAAAGGTATTGACTCGTTAACCTCTTAAAAGTTGGAATTAAGTACTTTTTGTTGAACGAGAAATTACTCCCTTACTTTTTTGTAATTATTAATACAAAGATAGAACCAACATGCCTTACAAATTTTCCCACATGTTTTTAACGATTTTTAACTTAAGAAGAATTAAGGATTTATATCACATTATATCACAAGTATCTATTAAACACGTGACCAGAAATCATAGAGTATATAAGCAATAGAGACGAAATGTCAATTAATTTGTTTGAAAATTATTCTGCCTAATTTATTACGGTGACAACTGCGCTCCGATTGGTCAGCCCGAATTCGAAACAATTGACGAGTGTCGTCAATTGTTTCACTTCAAATCGACCAGCTAATTTGAGCCTTGCTATAATGGACAAAAATTGCAAAATTACATATTTAATAACCGATGAAATGTGATTCCGTTTGTTTGGTAATTAGATGTTTTGCTGTTTTTCCCACACCACCGAATAGAACAGCACGGCTTTGTTAGATATATTATCTTTATTACAATAAATACAGAATATTTTTGGAATATACGGAGACGTACACACAGGTCAGTTGTTGGCGCTGCACTATTTCAGCTTTCTAATTTGTGATTTCAGTGCAAACGAGAGTTGATATTTAAAAGTGATATGAGGCCCATTTGCCTGATGAGTTGCCAGCGATGGTGACCCTCATTTCATCTCTATTTCTGGTTGTACACTCGATGCCAGAAATATACTTGTAAATAAATATAGTTGTTAAAAAATAGAATGAAAATTATAGTTAAAATAGTTTACAGCATATAATTTAACAAAACAGTTTAACAATCTTATAGTTAGCAGTTACTAGAATATTACATCGTTACATAATATGCAAAAGGCCACAGGGCGTGCGAAAATTAGTTTTCCTATGATTACGTTTACTGACGTTACTTTCTAATTTTAAGTACACACTTGTTTATTACGTTGGGTTTTACTTCGTGATCAATGACTCTACCATAGACCATCCTTTTTTTTCATAATTAGTCCTCTCTGTTTTCATTTACAAACTATATATTCATATCCCACTACAATAACAACAACAATTACAACTAATAACTATGAATGCTTATGTAGGTATACCGTCTCTGGGTGTGCCAGCGCTGGAGCCGTTGCTGGTGTCGAGCATAGACATCGGCGCAGGCGCTGGGCCAGTCGTCATCATGCAGAACTACCGCCGCATCAAGCTGCACGGTCTCACTGATTCCGTGCTCACCACTTACAAGTTTGTTGACACACATTTATATATGCGACGGAGCTCGTTATGTACCCACTAGAGATGTGCGCCGCGCCACCGTTGCCGATTTTAATCGGCGTAAAATCGACGTGGCGAAAATTAATTTTATTTATATTCGAAAATGTATCAGCTTTTGCTAATTTACTGTAGTTCCATTCAATTATTCCAAACAATTACAATTAAGCTGCCTCTAAATATTCATATGGCCTACATTTATTTCTCTCGTTTGATTTTAAGTTGGCGGTGTATTTGTGTGTCCATGGTACCCGCGATACAGAATTTGCCTAGAGCGGGGCTATGAGTGTGCACGTTATTCATTAATATTTAATTACGGACCCATATTACATGGAAATGACACACAACCTATTTAACCCGCTAGATGGCGCATGAATGCTAGTGCTGTTGCTGTTGAGGCTGTCAAGCTCCATAGTACATTACCTGCTAATTATCAAGTAAAAGTGTAAAAAACCTTGAAAAGGAATACAATGTTTTAGTGTTTTTCCTAACATCTGCCAAAATATATGCCACACCGATTTCACGCCGTCGCCGCCGGTCGAAAAACCATCATTCAATTTTACGATCGGCGCACGTCTCTACTTTCCGCACAAAACTTAGGATTGCTTTTCAACTAGTTAGTGCAGGAGTTACAGGTTTCGAAGATTTACTGTCTCCCAATTAGTAATAGAAGTATAGTATTAGTTAGTATTTTCTCTTGTATTTTTTTTTGTTATCTAGTGATGTGTAAAATGACGATTACTGTTTTACAGAGCGGATCTCAAGCACTACCGCCTGCGCACAGATTCGCACACGCCCAAGATGGAGTTCATCGCTGACTACGTGATGAAGGGCCGCATTCTCGTGTTGCCAATCCAGGGCAAGGGCATCGCTAACATCACCATGTGTAAGTACCTGTTTGAATTATCATTCATTTCGGTCTACAAATCATTTCGACATCATCGACCGCCAATGGATAACGTTTTATTAAACTTTGACTGCCTTAATGCCTAGCCTACAACTACGGAAACCTATTTTGGAAAGTTTCGAAAGTCTCGTTCTTCCTGAACTTTTCCAAACAGCACCGAGTCTCGATTTTTTTCAGTAACGCGGTGATGTAGTGAGACCGAAACCCCTAACTAGAGCTTTAAAAATTATGTAATTTTTTTCTAGTGAACCTGGTAGTAAAACACGATCTGATAGGCGAGCCGGTCGTCCGTGACGGACAAACATACATGCACATCAAGGAGTACCGCGTCAAATTTGTGCCGCAACGCGTGCTGCTCTATTTCACCAATCTCTTCAACGGGGACAAGAGGCTTGGTGACCAGATGAATGCGTAAGTGATTTCATATCGTTCTTGTTTCCTAAACCAGACGAAAGTAACGATCATTGTAGTTTTTTTTTTTTTATAATCGGTAACGGAACGAACAAGTCATGTGTCTAATAGTAAGCTACGCGCGTGTCCACAACTGCTGCACGTGCTACTCAGAGCTTTAAATCTGAAGGGCACTGTCACTGCGCCCGCCACCCTGAGTAATGCTCATATTACTTCTTGGCGGCAGAACTAGACAAGGTAGCAGTACTTCCACCAAACACCAAAGTTTCGGGCCCCTGAGTTTAGTGTCTGATATTGCAGTGCCCTTCGCTTACAGTGCCTGAGATTGTCGCTATCTTTTTTTGCATCTAGCCCGCGCTGCACCATTGGACATACATTCTGATCGCAGCCGCTAGCGTCATCAGCCAAACAAGTGATATTACTGTATATTTTTGAAGAACCACTTGAGGATAACGTTTTCTTTTGTGATATACCTCCTCCATGAAAATGTTTTCATTATGGTTCACAAAATAAACTTATACTTACATACCTGTGCTCCTCACATGTTATTGAATATAGTTTCATTTGTGAGTAAGTTTGGTGTCCATACTAGGATTAGCCTGTGTCATAGAGCACTAAGCATTCCCCCTCTAAGCAACCGTAACAGAAGACTAAAGGATACGTGTACTTAAACAATAACAAAGTAAAAGCAAAAATGAAAATTAACTGTTACTCATTTTCGTTTCCCATGAGGTATGTGAATTATGAAGAAACCGAGATAGATTTTCTGAGAATACAGCCAAGTTAACCAAAAAGTCTGTTACCTATGGTCACGTCTATGGTCATTTAAAAAAGCATTGTAGGAACAGAAAGGCGAGTTTTGTTATCCAAGGAAGTAACCTTACCTAATTCTGCCGCCAAGCAGTAATGTGAGCATTACTGCATTCCTGTTTGAAAGGTGCTGGTGAAATCATAGACACATGAGACTTACAAATTTATGTCTCAGGGTGACGGGCGCAGTGGCAGTGCCCCTAAGATCCTTGAGATTTAAAGCTCTGAGGGGAATTGCAACTGTTATGGACAGGCATGTCGCTTACCATAACTTGTTCGTCCCGTCACTTGGGGACACAAAATATCACGAGAAACGCCCAGAAAAACTGAATCGTAAAGATATCGCGTTTCATCGGTTACCTATATAGTCCTTGCCATTTTTTATTGTCTGCCCCAAAATTGTATCATCAAAACATGAGTTTATTTCCAGATTTTTTGTGTTTCTTGGTCCAATTTTGTACAATAAATTAAACGCCAAACTGGCCATATATTATTTTTGTTATATAAAGGTTAAGATAATTCTCCAAGAATTCCTTGAAAATATGTCCTAAGAAAATATAGAGAATTTATTAACTATCCCAAAACAAATATAAAATATAAAGGTATATGATTTACATTTCATTGTTTAATTATTATTATTATTTTGTTTATATTTCAATAATTTTTTTGTTTATAATTTAATCATCATATATTCACCTGTATAATTAGTATTTTTTACCTGAAATACAGGATTCTCGTATTTCAGGTATATGTGTTATATTTTATATTTATTCGCATAATTAGTTTAGTTATTCATTTGTACAATACGTTATTCAATAAACAATTTTATTATTTATTTATTTATTTTCCAGAAATAACGTTAGCTCGAATTTTCATAACTTCGAAAGTAATTTTGAGAGGAAAATGTTTTTTCTTTTAAACCTAACTTAACCTAACCTAATCGTGTCTTTGCTATAAACATCCAAAATATCCTGAAAGAATAACGGTTTCGTTATAATTCCGTCTTCGGTGTAATGAAAATTCGAAGAAACGTTATTTCGGCAAAATAAAAATTCGAGTTTTTGATAGGTTATACCCATTTCATCATGATAATGCCAAACTGCACACATTTTTACAAAGCGTCAAAAACAATTGAAGAATGGAGTTAGGTTGGAATATATTACCTCACCGTATTTGCCAGATGTAGTCGTTCGGTCTTTACACAATTCTTTGCATAGACAACTTTAATAACGAAAAGACCATAAAACGACTCTTTGTAGCTGTACTTTATAAGACAAGAACTTTTATATAAGGGAAATTCCAAAATTACTCGAAAGATTGTAAATCAACATGGCCAATAGATGATTCAAGTTTTTTTTTAAATATTTTTAAATGTTTTTATTTATACTTTGATACAGCATGGACTTTTTAACCGACTTAAAAAAAGAGGAGGTTCTCAATTCGCCTGAATTGTTTTTGTATGTATGTTACGCGATAACTTGTGAACCGAATTTGATGATTCCTGGAAAGAGGGTACTTCAGCAGTGGTCCCATTTATATTGGAAGAACATATTCCGGCTCTGAGGGTGGCAAATTAGAGGATGAATCCGGTTTCGTACTCTTTCCGGTAACCAATTTCAATAAAACTTGGCAATAAATGTAATTCCACGCTCTTTTGAGGTCGGTTTTTTAGCACTTTGTACAGAGATTATTGGCTAACTCATTACATTATTCACGAACGTGTCTTGTTTCAGTTTCCTAAACGAGAACTCCGAGCTGGTGTTCAACGAGCTGAAGGATTCGTACGAGAAGAGCCTTAGCTCCGTGTTCCAGGACGTCAGCAACAAGATCTTCGACAAAGTTCCCATGAACAAAATTTTCCTTGAAGACTAACATGTCCGACTGGCAAGTGTTTGAACGCGATTGAGGTGCAGATAGGATGCGAAACTTTCGGAAGAATGTATGCGCAAGGCAAAAGTGAAAAAATCTATTTTTTTTTATTACTGTACATACAGGTGGAACAAACAGTTACCCAGCAGTTTTTAACACTTGCCATAGTACAGTTATGTGATATTAATAATAAAAACTTTTTACAGTACCGGCACGCTATGATGGCCGTTTTGACAGATTACAATAATCAGATCTCTATTCATTGTCGATAAAAATATAATCAAATGCGAGTCGCATCTATAAGTTTTTAGATTTATAACTGGAATTGCAAGGGCTGGCTGATTAAAAAGTTTTAATGAAACGAAAATAAAAATGCTTGCTTAATATCGTCTTAAAATCGTCAATTCGAAACTGCTTTATTTTGCATTGAGCTTTGACGCGAGTTTGCCCGAGGTAGAAGTCGTGCTGGTCAGCGATCCCATAAGTAACGAACGTATTAGATTTCATTTTTTTTATTTCGAATAACAAATGTCGAGTTGTGTCGTAAAATTATACATTCCATAAATTGTAATGCTCGTCGCTATTGACCACAATTTACAGCAATTAGCTCCTTCGACGTAGTTATGAATTAATACGAAACTTGATGAGCGGACAAACGTCAAAATGGTCATCATAGCGTGCCGGTTAGTTAAGTACTATACTTAGATTATATATTTTAGAGCTACTAGTTTTCCCGTAAAATTTTAGTGAAGGAATTCTATGAAAAGTACACTACAAATTAACTATATCTACTGACGTCCTTGTCATAAATAACGTAATCGAAACCTTTATCGAAATTGAGTTATTAACATATTATCTGGAATCAGCGAAACGAAATCTCCTACCCCCTACAAGTTATTTTTTAATCTCTTATTTAGTTTGTTTTATTATTAAGCAAAATAAGTGTAATAGAAATTTTTCAAAGAAAAAAATGAACTAGGTGCCCTTATCTCCTCAGACGTTACCAAATTGCAAATGAGGTGTTTATGATTGAGAGCAGTGTAAGTACTATAGTCGAGCCAAGATAACATCCTCTTTTTGACAGAGGATAATATCCTCTTTATGAACGGCGATAGAACGTAACTTAACAATAATTGTCCAAATAGAAAACGAATAATTATACGATTTATCTCCACCAACAACGACTACTTTTGTAAATGTGTTACATATAACACATAATTTAACTTAATATCTACATTAAAGTAGAGATAGTCTGTATTTATGATATACGTCATTGATACGGTTATGTTCTATAGTTTTTTTTTAAACCTAGTGATGTTCCCGCAAGCAACAAGATAAGTTATCTTATTAAAAAAATTATGACGTAGTATGGTTGTTACGGTAGAAATATCCCAAGAAATTAGGCAAAAATTTTACCATTAACGAAAATTTATGCAATGAAATACAATAAATGCTTAATGTCAAATCAATTATTGCAGACATCGTTCATAAGATTACTTACTCGTGTTATTTACAAATATATGTTAATTTTGCCGACAAAAATAATAACAAATTATTTAAGTAACCAGAAAATTCTCAAAAAAAAGGGTAAAGTAAAAAAATTATTTGCTAACAAAGTATGTTGCACTTACTGCATATTCTGCCGTCCATTAACGAAAATGCGACTAAGTGACAAATGGTTAAAAATCCGTTTTAAATAGCAAAAGACAGAACACAAAATTCTCTTTTAAAAACATTTAAAATTATTTGACGTGCTCGGCTTATCGGAACTTACCCTAACGATGCATAGCTGAAATATCATAAAACAATTTGAATATTCTAAAACTGGGTTATGGCTTTTTATGACATCTCAAAAAAATACTTTGTCGCTTTAGCCCCGTTTTAGTTATTAATATTTTAAACCTAACACTAGCTTAAGTATTTTTCTTTCTAACAAATATTATGGATGAATGTAAGTCTGAAATAAATGGATTATTATTATTATTATTAGTTAGTAGACGGCAGTATTACATATTGCACATCAGTACGAGTGCGACAGCCTAGTATGCGTCTTGTTGTTTGTTGTTTCTGTTCCCTGATCTCGGGCCCAGACGGGTATGAATACTATACTAAATGCCTATAATATATTAGTAACTAGTACCATACTAGTATTAATGATACTAATTAAAGTAGATGTGCTACGACTCTAAAACTATCTGTTAAAAAGAGGGTGCTATCTTGGCTATACGAATCTTGAGTAAGACTGTAAAAACCTGATTCCCTTATAATTTTGGTGGTAGTGTACACGAGGCAAGACTACATTAGAGTAAGTGTGAGGTTTTGTATTTATTAAAAATGCTTTAATTAGGTGTTTCACATAAAAATATAACTTTAAGGAATCCTCATGCTTTTTTATTCTCTTTAGAGACAAGTTATTGTTGAAAATTCTTCGGAGTAGTACCCCTGTTTACGTTGCGACAAACGTTTTGTAGAGAACGTGTTGCGCCATCTGTGAGCGCTTGACCACACCACTGGTATCCATTAGGATCTTATGGTCTTTAGGACTGGGGTTACTTAAGGACCACGAGCACTTATACCGGTTGTCTTTCATTCAAATCAACATCAAGGGGATCTCGTCCATCCAAACAACGCCTTTGCTTTAAGAAGAATGATTCGCAAAATGCTTCGTTTATGATAACCACTGCAAACGTATTTCGTATTAGTACTAATGTGAACTGCTAGATGGCACTGTAATCAATTATGTTTTAGGTAAGACTATGGCGCAATTTATTTAAAGTTAAAAGACAGGTGATGGATATGTCGTCAGTCTATGTGAAAAAATACACTGTATTGAAATATGGATAATGTGTAAACACATTTATGTTAACTGCGTCTCCGCCACCTCCAGTTTCGTATAAACTGCGCCTTAGGAAGAACATCAAATACGTACAGATCCCCACAAGAAGAACATAGATCACACAGCCCAAAAGTACACCACTCCATACATGCGCGTGGCAATCTTGCATCATAATTACTTTTTAGACATTGGTAGGATTAATGGCGCCTGAAACGAAGAAACATTTCGTCATTAACTTCAATGTTATCGTCTATCTAAACCAACAAGAACTACACACAACCTTGAGGTGCCCGTGCACAGTAAATAGTATAAAAGTTTGAATTCAGTAAGACGTATGGTCGGATTGAAAGTAAACAGAATAAGAGTCGAATTTTAGCAGCGTGCGACGCGCGTTCGTGAAGCGACTGCATCGATGCAAACGCGCGATTGCGTCGATGCAATCACCTCTGAATCCGAAGTGTAGCGATGTAATCACGCGTTTGTATCGATGCAGTCGTGCGCTAGCATCGCTGCTTAAAATGGCGCGTGTGTGTAAAGGTAGATGACTAGGGAATGCTTCGCTACTGCATCGCCTTCTGTAACAGCTCTAACAGCTCTATTCATGCACCATCTTCAAATTCTCAATAGTAAAACTAAGCAAAGGCAAAAATTTGTGTTACCCAAGTAAGTTTAATTTATTTATGCCTTTGAATTGGAAGAAATACCGAATGATTGTAGAGTTTAATATTAAGAAAGATAATCAATTTCAGCGATTGTATTTTCCAAATTAAAATGAGGAAAGGGGCCAAGATGAGAAGAAGACTTGAGTGGTAGATAGTTCTCGGGGAGCGTGTTGGGAAAGTTCCAGATAGTTAACATTATAATGTCCTGAAGACAAATTATAATGTCTATGACAAATAATATAGTTTTATCCTGTGCGTTTTATTTCTCTATTTAACCAATAATGTGATGATGTGGCGAATGTGTTTTTTCAAACATACCAACGTTTCCGCCCCTTACAGGTCCCATGGTCGTTATGACTTTACTAATTCGTATGTTATTTGAGAAGACAAATTAAACAACTAGTCTAGATATAGAGGTGTGGACGTTCCTTTGGATAACCATTCGGATGTTAATGAGATTCAGAAATTCCGTTACTTGCGATCAGTACTGAGCGGTAGTGCATTACAAGTAAATAGTGCATTACAATTTACAGAATTTACACTCTGAGCGTAAACAATGGCGCCAAACCTGTTCACTATCGGCTGATGAGTTGGACTTATTCGCTCAGTTGCAGTTACTCCCGAACGAATACGATAACTTACTTAAAAATGAGCCTATTCGGTCAAAAAATAAGCAATATAATCGAATTTCCAGCCTTGTTTCTAGACGAACACAAAGTAATTAGAGTCGGTGGTAGACTCTGCAGAATCACTAAGTTCCCTAAGATTTAGGTACCTGATAGTAATTCTATTATTGTTTTTACTAGTCTTTTCTTTGTCTTTACCTTCAATCCTTCATCATCATCCGCATTAAGGTTCTTACTGAAATATAAGCGGCGAAAATTATGATTATAAAGAACGCAGTTTCCCAAAAGTGATTAAGGAGCGCCATTTGGCCCCCAGTTGATTCGTCATCCGCCCCCATGTTGCTCGCGTCCCTCTGTCAATCAGTCTGATCAGTTAATGATATTCTCTAACCGAGGATTCCAAAAGATTGTGAAGAAAAATATAAAGTTGAAAGGAAACATCCAGTTTATGATTATCTCATTTTGTGTTTTTTTTAGTTTACTGTGACAATTTTTTGACATGTTTGTGATCAGAAGCAATGAGCTTAATAAAAAATTTTTTCCAACTTCAGATACAAGAAGTTTTGCTAAATATACTATGAAAATAGTCTATGGATGGCAGTTGAAATTAATTCACAGAATCCAGTATTTATGTAAACTGAAACCTTAATGTGAATTCAATATGGAAACGACACTTTGTGAAAATATTTGTTAAATACCTAGCTAACTACTTGTTTCGGAAGGTTTTAGAGTACGTAACATATCGGAGCGGGGCCAAGGTGAGACAAAGGGGTAGAAGTTCCTTCTGCAAAGGAACAAGTTCTGGAGATGCATAATTTTTGAAGTATACATTTTTATGTTTTGAGTTGTTTAATACAACATAGTGAAACGGTGAAAAGTGGGGTTTTAGCGCCCCAGGTTTCCAGAAAAATAAAATTCAGTATATGGTTTCACCAGTATTGAAATAGAATTTTTTACAAAAATGCTCATGGGTAGGTATGTCGGATAATTCGCTCAGCGATGGCACGCGATGAGACACTGGCTTAATTTACGAAGCACTCGCGAATGACGTCACCGCACGCTAGTCACGGGCTCAGTGGGACGCACTGTTTTGAGGCGGCTAGGTTGCCGTGACCACAGTGACGTGGATAAGGTAGACCCGCGACGAGAGTAGGCTCGGGGCGAAGGTAACAGATGTAGCCCGGTGGTACGGCTCCAAGTCTGGGGTAGCTTTACACAAATTATTGATTAACTCAGCAGCACAGTAATGAGACGAGAAAAAGAAGAGACCAGGGGCGGGGGACCTATTTATAGGCGAACCCCCTCTGTGAAATTTGAGTCTTTTCGAAACACGTTACCAAATATGGTCATGGACAAGAGTATTTCGACCATTAGAAGGTCAAATCTCAATCATAGATGTTTACATGAAGAACTTGTAATACAAATAGTGAGTAACCGATCGATACGTTATTTTCCTAAAAAGACTTAGGCTCAACTCATACTGGCGTAGCGTCGCGACGCGTCATGATTTTCGCCTATAGCGGTGTAGTTGAAAAACAGGACGCGACGCGACGCTTCGACTATAACACCCAGAAAAATCTCCCTGTGTAATTTTGGATTAATATAGAATTAATTAATATCTTTACGTAAATAAATAGACAAGATAAACAATTAGCACAGAGTCAAACAAAACCTACCCACGCTAAAATTATCAAAAATTAAATGTTAAAAATAGTGAGGGTACTTACGTACTTTGTTTTGGTTGTGTCAAACCTAACAAAACAGTGAATGAAGCAAAATTCTAGTTTTAATGTTTTATATACGCAGTTTAAGTGAATAACTGCTACAATAGGTCGCAGAGTTGAATGAGGTTCTAGTGGAGTCCGTACAGAGTCCTTTAGACTCGCAACAGTAAATTTCATAGAAGTACTTCCATCGGAAAGAGTTAGCGAAACTGACTCTGCGAGTTGTGTCAGCTATGTCATTACGTCATGCACTAATTTTAACTTACTTTACATATGTAGGTATAGAGACAACCTGCCCAGAAGGAAAGCGATTTGTGATATTTTAAACCACAATTTTCCTACAATGCATCATTCCCACTAATTTAATATGAATTATAACTAAATTAAGGTTACTTGGGGTGCGGAAAACGGGATGAAAAAAGAAAGATGAAAGATAGAGAACATTCGCTCGCTATGGAAAGCAAACAACTCACTCATCTGACCTACCTCATTTCCCGACTGGCTTACTCCGCTAAGCCCTCTCGCTAAAGAAGGCAAACGACTCC